CCTTGCCATGTCTACTGGGGGGGGGGTGCTGGCCCAGCACATGGGTCCACTCCCACCTCATCTGTGCTCACATGGGGACTCCCCTCCCACCTGGGGGTGGGGGTGCTGAGGAATGGAAACACAGCCCCCAGAAACCCAGAATAGGAAGGAGGGGGGCGGACACCGGACAGTCCTCCTGCGCTCCCGCGGCTGGCTGCCGCGGACTGCAAGCTGTTGGTCCTGGCTTCTTCCCATCCTCCCCTTGGGCTTTTCCCAGCTCAGGTCCAAGAGGGTCTGGGGGCACAGGTGACCCTCTGCTCTGCCAGCTTCGTGGGAGCCAAGGAAGAGAGGCAGACCACAGCACACCAACTCCCCAAAGCCGCCGGAGGTCCCATCTCCCTGCTGACCACTTCCCTGGCCCCTCACTCCCACCTCTCCCCTCTAGGACAGAGGCTCTCCAACCCTGGCATCTAAACAAAGGGGCAGAGGGTCAGACATGGCTGGAACATGTGGAAGAACCCACAGGATGAGGGTCCCAGAGCAGGCTAGGAGCCAAGATGGGGAGAGGGGCGGGGCTCCGGGGTTGCAGACTGCAAACTGCTAGTTGTCTCAAATTTTGGCAACGTCCTCCATTAAAGTGGGCTGCCATGGGGGCGGGAGGAAGATATTTACAAGTGCTGGGACACGCCAGGAATTCTCTGACAAGCAGAGAGACTGGCCCTCCCGCCACCAGCCCCTCATCTCCCAAGGCAGAAGTAGTGGAGCTCCTAGAAATGCACCCTTTCCTCTAGGCCCACCACCCCCACCACAGGTAAAGGGCAGAAAGAGAAGTGACCCAGTGAGGGAGGGCCCTCAGCACGAGGCTGAGCTCTCAGCCCCCTCCCCTGCTCCCTCTGCACCGCGCCTCAGTAATTAAAATATGAATTCACCTTCCCTCCCTGAGCCATTCATCACTGCGAAGGGGAGCAGCTGCGGCTTAGGAGACCGGATTTGGGGGATTAGCTCCAGCGGCGGAGCAGACACACCAGGAGAAAGAATTAAAAAGGAAGGGGGTGAATTGGGTTTTCTCTCCCCACCTCCTCCCTCTCCCTCTCTCTGGCTGCCACCAGAGCCTCACACCCCACCCCTTCCACCAAAGCCTAGCCTCTGCAGGTTTCTGGGAACTGTAGTCTCTGAGTCGGTGTTGATAAACAGGCAGGCCAGGGGTGGGAGGTGGCACAGACTACAGATCCCAGGACTTCTTCCCAGAGTTGGCAGCAGCAAAACTGGGCACAGTCTCCAGTCTGGGAGAAGCCCGCGTTCTCCTTGGAGGTTAACTCCTTCTTGGCCTGCAGGAGAATGAACTCCAGCCCAGGGCTCACGGAGCTCCCTACAAGCAGGAGCAAAGTCCTTTCAAGGCTTCTTTAGGAGGCCACAGACCCCCATTGCCAAGGTAACCCCTCCATTTCTTGCTTGTTCACCTATGGAGAAAGAAAGAGATCCTGCATCCTTCATTACTCCAAGGGCAGCCAAGAAGACCTTGAGGGCCACAGGAGCTAGAGGGTCAGAGCAGCAATACTCTTACAATGTCCTTGTGTCGGGCACCCAGGGGTGGGTGGCCCACCCTAAGGGTCTTTTCAGGCCTGATGTGGTGCCTCAATTTGACATGTAGCAGCCAGTGGGAACTTGGTGGCCCAGATTACCAATGCCAGAGGTCAAACTTTAGTGCCATCCCCTTTTACAGATGGGGACAGAGATAGTTTCCAATAGTCTCTTCTTTTAGAGAGGAGTAGGGCTTAGCAGTTAAACTCCAATTCCACTAAAAATAGGGCAAATACAAGAGATTCACCTGAATCTCAGAGTGGTTAAACACGAGCCCACTCTCCCAAGGGAGGCCTTAGGCTGGGTATATCTGAGAACTGTAAAAAAGACGGAGATTGCTCAGAATATTTTGGGATTCCTGTCTGTAGGCAGGGGACAGGACAGACTGGTTCTCTGATCTGCAAAATCTCCAGGGAGCCAGGGCACTAGGCCAGCTTGCTGATTCCATGCAGTTCAACGATTATGCAAAATATATAACTGCACATCTCTCTGGGCCTGCCCCACACACAGTGGCCAAGACACAAAGAACAGAAAGGAGCCCTAAATTCATAATCCCAGCCCCAACAAAGGTGTCTCAGGAGAATGGCTGAGGTGTGGGCCTGTTCTGGGTCCAGCAGTGGCGACTTACCTCTTGTTCTCCTAGTTTGCACTTTAGTCAACAAGCATTCACTCAGCAATCCCTATGGAGCACTTACTTTGGTGCCCTACAGAGATATCAGTTCTGGGATTGTTCAGTCCTCTCCCCCATGTCCCAGCCCAGTGTGGAGGTCTTCTAAGGCCTTCCCAGGCATGGCTAGGGTCTCCTAGTCCTTCCAGGAGGTGCTGGGGTCTTCCAGGCCTTCCCAGGCAAACTGCACACCAGGACTCCTGGGAAGGGCCCAGTTGCAGGGGACACAAAGGGGCGACCTGACTTTCCAACCAGGAGAGGGAGAACTACATGTAGCAGAGCAGGTGCCCAGAGGTTCTCAGAGTGGAGCAAGGAATAGAAAAAGCTGATTCTAAGTCCAGGGCAGCTGGACAATGAGGGAGGTGGGGAAGGTACCAGCCATCTCCCTCCCTGGTCAAAGAACCCAGAGGTCAAGTGAGAAATCCTGGCAAATTCTCATCTCTGTTCCTTCCACCATCTAAGCTGGGGCAGGAGGGGAAGTGGTCTGGATCAGCCCCAGCAAAAACCCAGCTGGCTTAGGCTTTTTCTCTGCTTCTCCTATTGTGATTTCCTGTCTGCTCCTGCTGGAAAAGGAAAACCAGTGACAGACAAAGGGGGACTGGAGTTGGGTCGCGAGGCCAATCTGTGGACATGCATCTGATAGCGACCCTGTGAGCACGGCCCCGCTGGTTTTCAGTGTACTTTCCCATGCACTGGCCGTGGCTCTCCCAACATCCAGTGTGACACAAGAAGAGCATGAGTTCTGGCACCAGACAGCCTGAGTTCGAATCCCAGCTCTGCCTCTCACTAGCCATATGAACAAGGGCCACTTTCTTAGCTCACCCATGTCTCAGATTTCCCTTAAGAGGACTAACAACATATAGGGCTGTCTTGGAGGTTAAATAAGCTAGCACAGGTGAAATGGTTAGAACTACACCTGGTACCCAGCCGGCACTTAAGAAAATGTTGGTCAGAGAATGAAGGGTTCTGAGACCTAAGTACCACGCCTTCTGCTTGCCTATACCAAATACAGTACGATTTTTCAATGGTCTGCCTTAGACAGACGGGTCTCAATGGGAAGGAGGCTCCTGGGAGGAGCAAGGGTTCTTCCTCCACTGACCAGCCAGAGTGCCTGCTTAAGTTCCATCTATGTGTGGGGTGGAGGTGGGGCATGGGCGGGAATATGGGTGTGGAAATAGCCACTGGGAGGGGCACAGCAGGCTGAGTGACAGGCAGAGGGGAACAGGAAGGGCAGGAGGCATGCACTGAGCTGCCTGGGAGCTAGGGACCCTGGGCTCCAACCTGCTGCCCTCCGAGGGGCGTTCTCGGTGGGACGTCCTGCCCTCCCCCCCCCACCGTGGATGGCCCAAAAGCTCCCATTCCAGTCACTGAGGAGCCCAAGGTCTCCTTACCCAGAAGGCTGAAGATTCCAGGCAGAAAGCAGTTAAGGCAGCAAGGCAGATAAGCGAAAGCTGTCCTGGAGGGGCCTAGAAAAGGCCCAGGGCCCCTGACTCCAGCCCCCAGATCTCTTTGGGCATGAGCCAAGCCTTGGTAACTTGCAAAGGGGAAGAAACTAACACCAAGGCCTCAACACACCCTGAATACCTCCTTCCTTCCTCTCAGGAATCTCCCATCATGGCCCAGCCTCTCCATTTCAGAGCCAGGGTTCAGGTCCAGCTAGGGGAAGTGACTTGGCTAGGATCACAGCCTAGCCCCAGGCTCCTAGGTCCCTGCACCCCTGCGAGCCTCCCTCTGGCGCCCCCTTCGTAGGGGGCTGAGTCTGGTCCTGTGGGGGTTGGCGCAGTTGCGTCACTGTAGCCCATGGCTTTTAGCCCTACATGAGTTTGGAACAGCAATCACATAGGAATGAAAAGCCATAGGCCACAGCAGAGCTGAGGGGGTCCAGCAGCTGGAATCTCAAAAGGAAACAGGAAGCCAGGGGGCACCTGGGGAACCCCCCACCCCCACCCTGACCCACCCACACAGCCTCCCACGAAGTACTGGGCCCCCCAGGTTACATTCTCTCACCATCCCCCACCACCTGCCCCAGGCCCCAGGAGCAAGAAAGCCATCCCATAATGAGTTTCCAGTTCTTGCCCTACAAAGGCCCCACACAATGGTCCTCATTCGGGAATGAGGAGGGGTAGCTTCCTGGCCATAAAGGACCTCCTCTCACTCCCTAATTAGCTTCCAGCCCCCTACCCAGGGTCCCTCACTACCCCCTCCCGGCTCACATAGGACCGGATCTTTTCAAGGCTGCCAGTGCCTAAGACTGGCCCCATATCAGGCTCCCTTTTTACAAAGATTAACTCCTTCTAGTCCAGTCGCTGGGAGCAGAGGGGGGCAAAAGACGGTCTGGGCTTAGAAGAGCAGAGACAAAGGCCTGCCTTTTCTTTAGAGGC